CCTGAAGGAGTTAAAAATCGCTACGATAAAATATTGCCTCTTTGGAACTTGGTAACCACTGAATATGAGTTCCAAAGGTCCTCTGAAAAGTTAAAAAGCATTGCACAAATGTTAGTATTACTAATTTTATTGGCTTGAAATACCATTCTTTTTTAATAGCCCCTGAATATATGATATTGATACTCCAAATTCAGAACTGAGTTTTGATTATCCAAATACCATTCAACATGAAGTTGTTTTGGAATGCCTAACATTATTTCCTCTAACCCTTCCAAAACTAAAATTCTTAGACTCTATGATGTCAGTCAGAGAGATGATGTTAAGAGAAGAAAATTAGTTTATAATTATTTTCATAAGAAACAATAATTCTCTGCCAAATCATGTACCTTTCTAGATTGAGGTCATCATGACTTTTGGCTCTTTCCTCAAATAGAATACAACCTCCAAAATGAAGACTCATCATCAGTGATATGCAAAGGAATATGACAAGTCCCCCAAGACCATTTCTAAAGATGAGTTCCAACAGTAAGTGTATTCAGTGTAAGGACCAAGATGTCATCAGCAGACAGCTGGCCTTGGTGAGTAAGTACATTGAAGTTGGCAGTATTCATCCAAAAGCTTTATCTGCTGGTGTGTTGTTTGTTTTTGTAAAAAAAAAAATTCATAGTACTTGACATATATACCTCATCTATTTGTCACCTAGTAGCCCCATTCTGTGTCATTAATTCAGTCATCCACCTTTTCACACAGAACTTCTTGCAAATGATAAACGGTATGCTATACTCAGAGCCAGAGCAGCAGGCTGACCTGGTGAACTCCTACCCTACCCCCACTCCCCAACATCTAATATACTGAGCTACAGGACAGCTAATGGTGCTTGTGTTAAAAACAGCCAAGACAAAGGTCAGCTGGTGAAGAATGTCCCTAGGACCCCACTTAGCTGGCTCAGTGCTATGCAGAAGGGCGTGGTGATGAGAAAGTAGGAGCACAACTGTTTGAGCCCTGTTATCTGAGCCAATGTAAACACCAAACTACAGATACTTCCCCTTCCTCCTCCAGGATCCAAATGCCAATTGCTCCCAGCTTCAAAGTTCTGAATCTCTATCACCTCCCTTTGATTCAAGCTTGCTTGAAAAGGGAACAACATGCCTGACTCCATCTGTGTGGCAAACTGGGTCTCCCTAGCTTAGTCATCAGGAGATACTAGGCATACCCCAAACCTGCATCTCTACACTATACTGCACCCTGGAGAAAATTCTGGCCATCTCTCAAATGACCACACAAATAACAGTTCAGCCTCCAAAAAGGTCATCCTCTAGGTGGACAGAACCCAGGACAGATCAGACCTAGTCCTGGTCTGTCTAGGAAGGCTCAAAGGCACACAAAAGATGCCACACTGCTGAACCTAAGGCTTACTAACATAAGGGTTGCACCTTGGAACTGTGACAGAGGAACAACAAAGAGTAGCAGCTTCTCCCTGTTCCCCCTCCCAGCCGCACATTCTTTTGGCCAATAATATTGGACTGTATAATATTTGCTATCTCTTTTCATTAATAAACTTATGTCCAGACTTTTAGCTTAATGATCTGATTTTCTAATAATCCACTCTATCCATTTACCTAATATTCACCCTACTCTGAGTGCTTTTTGGCATTGTTATAGATGTTTAAAAAATTTTGGGGCCATTTTGTTGGCATTTTAAGGACTTTTATATCACCACCTTTGTTACCAATCCTGTAATGCTTAGTCTAGCCCTTGAATTTGTTTTCTACCTAACGTATCTTTTTTCCTATTCTACTCTGGTAAATGAGGACACTCATAAGACTTTTCTGGTGGGTCCTAGGTTGGGATAGTTCTTCCTGTTTGTTGTTTGTTTGTTTGCTTTTTAACAACTTGCTAAAGTGGTGGTAATGGAGGAGGAGGAAGGGGACAGAAGGTGGAAGTGAAGGCAGAGCCCTTTCAATTAACAATGTTTGACTGACTCGACTCTTCCTGGTAGCACCTTTCAAGTTGAGACTAAATTATTTACCTTGTCCACCTCTTCCCCACCTTGACTCTAAAACTGTTTTTTCTTTCACTACTCTAATTCTCATAACAGGCTTTATTTTTTTGGTTCCAACTTCCAGGCCATATTTTCATGATATATAATTCCTCTTGGGCTTATAGGTTAGAATTTGACCTCTGGATTCAGAGGGCTCTGGTTTCTGGCAAGTCAGAGAATACTTCTTGTGAGAACTAATGGTGCTGTAGCTAAACATTCCCAGAATCCCTGCTGATCTGCAGGTTAACTACTGGCACTCGGTTTTTCTCATTTTTTAGAGTAAGTTGTGTGCTAGTAGAAACATGGTCTTCATTTCTTCATTTATAAAATGGAACTAATCATAGCCTCTTCAAGAGCTGTTCAGAAATAAGAATAATATGATGAATGTAAGCTTTTGACTTGTTTATTTCTCTTCAATGTAATATGCTTTTTTTCTTCCTGTGGATTGTCCTACATACTACTCCTTTGCCTAGAACATTCTTTAGTTTACTCCCAACTTAGAACCAACCATTGTACCGACTTTATCCATCTTTCAGAACCTTATCCCTGCCCCCCTAAGCCAGACTAAGTATTTTTACTCCTCCTACCTATCTCTTTTTCAATTCCTAAAGTATTCTACATGTTTCTATATTTTATTTAAACTTTCCTAATTTTAACTAAATATTCTTTTCTGTCCTAAGATTCCATTCAAGACACTATATTACATTTGATTGTCATGTCTCCTTAGTCTCCTCTGGACTATGACAGTTTCTCAGGGGGTGCCTGATGTCTTCATCATGACTAGAATGGGGTGATGGGCTTAGGGGAGAAGTTCTCCTCACATCTTCTCAAGGCTACATGCTATCAATATGGCTTATCACTAAAGATGTTGACCCTGATCACCGGGCTGTAGCAGTCTTTGTCAGATTTACCCATCATAAAGTTATTTCCCCCCTTTCTGTACTTTCTTTGGAAATCTTTTGCACAGGAGAATGATATCTCCCTCTTATTTATTAATTTATTCAATCATTTATATCAGTATGGACTTATTTATCTTATCCTTTAGGTTATAATCTAATACCATATTATTTATTTTCTTGCTCAAATTCTTCCACTTTTGGCCAAAGAGAGTTCTATCAGGTTGGCTGCTGTGTTCCTTTGATATATCCCCACCTGCATGTATGCATGTGTGTGTGTGTGTGTGTGTGTGTGTGTGTGTGTGTGTGTATGTGTGTGTGTGTTCATTATTTTCTGACTCTAGGCTCCAGGATCATCTTGTATATTCTCTCCCTCAGTCCTGGAATCAGCCATTTCTCCAAAGAGCTCTGATTCTTCTAATTGGAGAAAAAGTATTAGAAACCACGATCTGTATGCTAATCGTGCTCGTTGCTGACAAATACATGTGTGTGTGCTAACCCATGTATATACACATATCTATAAATATTTCTATATGTATTCATCTCTATCTATATAAACCTAAACATGAGTTTGTTCTTTGTCTCTGACTCTAATTCAGTACCACATGGATCATTCTTATCTCTTCTCCTTCCTTGCTTATCTAACCTCCCACTTCAACAGTGAGACCCTGGCTCACATCATTTTCTGTTCATTCAGTTAAGTGTTCAATTCCAGAACACATGTATAGTGGTTTCAGAATTTTTAACTCAAACCCCTGTGGGAAATCACTTTACCAAACATAGTACAGTGCTTATGTGTAGTTCCTTATGGCTTTAGTCTTATAGTCTACACTCACTTCCAAAGTTACTTAGGTCAGCACCTTCCCTCCACTCCCACCAACTTCCTTCAGTGAGATTATTTTATATATTTATAATGCAGTCATACTCTTTTGTCATAGCCTGGATTCCATCCAGGAGTCCTCTGACTTCCTAGGTAATTTTTAAAAATTTGCATACATTAAGGTTCACTGTTTGTACTATTAAATTCTATGGATTTTAACAAATGCAAAGTGTCATGTATTCATTATTACAGTATCACATAGGACAATTTTACTGTCCTAAATGCTTCACTTATTCAGTTCTCTCCCTTCCCCAAGTCAATTTATTATTTTAAAGAGCTGTCTACCCTCTTAAACTGGGAATGCTTGCTCCAATGTAATAGCATAGGAACACCCACGATTTCCAGACTTTCATAAGTGCGGCACTGGTGATCATAAAGAAGATGAAGATATTTGGGGGGACTGCCACTCATGAGGATATGGAAGTATTTAAAGACAAACTTGTAGAGAAACTACAGAAGATTCACAGTTTGTTTAACTAGTTCATAAATTCTATGGTAGTGTAAACCATCTAGATTTTGGGTTTTTGCTGTAGTCTCACTGCCTGCAAATGTTTTACATTTAAGAGAGCAGGAGTCCTAGGCCACCAATATAAGGCAAATTGTAGGGGGGCAGGTGGGTCGGGGTCCTAGAGTCAGTTATTTCCAGATCACTAATGGAGAGAGAACCCAAAGAAAAAGAATGAGATTAGAAAATATCCACTCATTCAAAATAAACTTAAAATACACATTCCAAAGAAAACAAAATATAGACACATTGGTACCAGACTGGATTCAGAGACTCTTCTTGGAGACCCACTTCACAGATGCGCCCAAAGGGACTGGTTCCAGAATCAAAGAAAAAAATATCCTCCCATGAGCATTAAGAAAAAAAGAAGAGGAGAAACCGTCTTGGCTAGAGTAGAGCAGAGAAACACTGAAATAGAATTCAAAAGAAACTACATATGACTTGGACTCTGCTGGATTTTTGACGACGAGTATCTTCATCACTGGGAGCAGTGTGGCATTAAATACCGAAGAGGGTGACAAGAAGATTGGATATCATTTGGTGGCTGAGACTCTTCTTGGAAGCTCCTATAGCCTTCCAAAGAGAGCAAGGACTGAGCAGACCTCAGTTTCTCACTTTTCTTAGCTCCTGGGAAAACACTGACTGAAGAGTCTCTGCAGACAGACAGCATCATGCACAATGGACTTTGTGGCCTTCCTGCCTGAGCTCCAAGCAGAGGCCAGTTGCCCCGTCTGCCTGGATTACCTGACAGACCCAGTGACCATTGAGTATGGGCACAACTTCTGTCGCTCCTGCATCCACCAGCGTTGGGAAGATCTACAGGACATCTTCCCCTGTCCTGTCTGCCTCCACCACTGCCCTGACAGGGACTTCAGGAGGAACACCCAGCTATGTCACATGACTGATACTGTGAAGCAGATTCCCACCACAGGGAGCCAGAGGAAACTGCAGGAAGAAAAACCCCTGTGTGAGCAGCACAAAGAGGATCTGATCCTGTTCTGTGAGAAGGACCTGGAGCTGTTGTGTCCCCAGTGCAAGGTCGGGTCTGACCACCCAGATCGTCCCCTGAAACCAATTGCGGAAGCTGCAGCTAGTCACAGAAGAAAGCTCAAAAGCTACATTGAGCCCCTGATGATGGATGTTGAAGATGCTGAACTGGGTCATGAGAAGCAAGTTGCAATAGTTTTGAAAGCAAAGAGAAAGATAGAAAATTGGAAGAAAGAATTGCATGATGAATCTAAAGAACTTAAGTATTCCTTGGAAGTAGAGTACAATGAAATTAATGCCAGCCTACTTACAGAAGAGAAGGATATTAAAGAAACACTAACTGAAAATGGAAGGCAAATTTCAAACTATATGTTCACACTAAAAAATCTGTTAAATGAAAGAGCAAAGAAGTGTTTGCAGACAGACCTGGATTTACTCACAGGTATTGAAAGTACCCACAACAAGTATGAGAACCTAGAGACCCCAGCAGTCTTCTCCTATGAATTAAAGAGGGCGAGTTTCACCCTCCCCCCACATTATTTTGGCCTGCATAAAATGATGAGCACATTTCAGGTAGACGTGACACTGGATCCTGAAAACTGCCCATCCGAGTCTCATTATCCTAACAGATAGAAAAAGTGTGACATATAGGACAGCAGATGGTCTTCATGATCCCCAGGCACTTACTCCTTACCTAGCTGTCCTGAGTTCTGAGGGATTTGATTCTGGCAGGCATTTTTGGCAGGTAGAAATACGAGGATCAGGTGAGTGATTCCTAGGTGTGTGTAAAGAATCTTTCTCCCAAAACACTCTCATAGCACCATCTCCAAGCAATGGATGCCGGCAACATCAGCTTTGCACTATTACGTACAGCCCGTTGGGTATAGGGCTACTGCAGATTGGCCTTTTTCTGGACTATGAGTTGGGAGAGGTTTCATTTTATAATTTAAAAAATAGTTCAAATTTGTGTAGATTCACTGCTCAATTTACAGAAAAACAATTGTGCCTTCTGTTGTGTAAATTCTTCAAGATCTCTTCAAATCTGTATCATGAGAGATAAATGATGAACAAGTTGGAGAAAATTTTGTATGTGGTAAATTTAGGAAATGAAAGGGGTTATTACTTGTTAACCTGACAAGCTCAGGGAAGGCCTGCCTGGACACCTTGAAAACTCAAAGACCTACAGTAACCACAAAGAATGGTCTGAAATGAAAACTTTTAACTAAAACAGTTTATGATAGGTAGTCATATCCTAGGCAGGCATCTTCCCTGACAAAGATCAGTCTTTACCTTAACTGAGCCTGCCTATTGTCATTTTACATCTAAGACAACATATCTTTGGAATGTCTAAGTAATTTTTCTATTTCTGGACCCTTCAAAGCACAGACACCATTCTGCAGAGACCACAAATCCCCTCATTGTTATTGTGATCATTGTTGACTGTCACCTATCCTATACCCACCTATGTAAAAGATGTATGTGTCTATCATTTTACATTTCATTTTATCCTAGAGGTTTCCCCACTTTGCTTCTCCCACCTCCCTAATCTATCACCAGTGAATCTCACGTAACCCACTTGCATCTTCTCTTTGGATTGTAATGTATAAAATAATGTGCAAAACTGCCATTCTGTGGAGCATTATCTCGATTCATTGAGATTTTGCTTCCTGGCAATTTTCATTTTGGCTCAAATAAACTCACAAACATTCCTCACAAAAAAAATAAAGAAAGAAAAGAAAAAAGAAAACAAAATATAGGAAAATCAGACTATGAATTGTCTACAGATAGAAATAAAATAGCAGTACAATCTAAAATAGATACCATGTTTAGGGTCTTCAAAGAGATGTATGAAAAAAAAATCTATAAATAAGAACAAAATTATGAAACATAAAAAGAACAAGTGGATATTTTTTATTTAAAATTATTAAGTTAAAAATATGGTTGTTGATCTAATAAACCCAATAACAGGATATCTTGACTAGACATAATTAAAGGGAGAATTAGTGAACTGAAGAACATACTAAAATATTTTCTCTAAAATATACATAGAAAATTAGAGATATTTTAAGAAAGAGCTGTTGAAAGATGGATAAAATATTGAGAATCCTTTAGTTCCATTAAAAAAGGAGAAAATTAAGGTAAAAATGGAGAAGATTTATCTTTTTTTAATGGTTGAGAATTTCTCAGCAATAAAGAAAGACATCAGTCCCTAGATTATAAGTATACACCAATAATAAAGAAAATAAAAACAGTGAAACTGGAGAGTTCCCCCAAAATAAAGAAAAATATTCTAAGAATATAAATGTCAAAAGTGAACCTTTAAAATTTCTAGAAAAAGTATAGGTAAATGTCTTCTGACTTTGTGGTAAAATAAAATTTCTGAAAAAAATACCCTAAAAGCACCAACTTTAAAGAAAAGATTAATAGATTCAACAACATTAAGCAGTAAAATCTCAGACATCACACGCAGCGGAATTTTCACTGATATATCTCCTAGGGCAAAAGAAACAAAGGAAAAAATAAATAAATTGACTACATCAAACTAAAAAGCTTCTGCACAGCAAAAGAAACTACCATCAAAATGAAAAAGTAACCCACTATATGGAAGAACTTATTTGCCAATGATACATCTGATAAGGGGTTAATTTCCAAACTATGTAAAAAACTCATACAACTCAACAAAAGGAAGACAATCCAATTACAAAACAGGTAAAGGACCTAAATAGACACTTCTCGAAAAAGACCAGTAGACATGAAAAAATGCTCAAAGTCACTAATTATCAGACAAATGCAAATTAAAACCACAGTGAGATATTATCTCACACCTTCACAATGGCTATCATCAATAAATTAACAAACAGCAAGTGTTGGTGAAGATGTGGAGAAAAGGGAACCCTTGTGCTCTGTTGGTGGGAATGCAGATTGGTGCAGCCACTTTGGAAAACAATATGGAGTTTCCTCAAAAATTACAAATAGGCCCTGCCAGTTTGGCTCAGCAGTTAGAGCGTGAGCCTGTGGACCAGAGAGTCCTGGGTTCAGTTCCCGCTAAGGGCACGTACTTCAGTTGCAATTTGTCCCCTGCCCCAGTTGGGGTCACCTGGGTGGCAACCACTTGATGTGTCTCTCTCACATTGATGTTTCTCTCTCTCTCTTCCCCCTTTCTCCCTCCTGCTCTATCTGAAGATAATGCAAAATGTCCTTGGGTGAGGATTAAAAAAAAAAAACACAATACGAATAGAACTGCCATTTGACCCAGCGATCCTGCTTCTGGGAATATATCCTAAAAGCCCTGAAACACCAAACAGAAAGAATATATGCACCCCTATGTTTATAGCAGCACTATTTACAACAGCTAAGATTTAGAAAGAGCTGAAGTGTCTGTCAGTAGATAAGTGGATCAAAAAGCTGTGGTACATTTATACAATGGAATACTGTGCAGCTGTAAAAAGGAAGGATCTCTTACCCTTTGAGACAACATGGATAGACCTGGAGATTATTATACTAAGCGAAATAAGCCAGTTAGATAAAGACAAATATCATATGATCTCACTTGTGGAATCTAATGAACAAAATAATCCTGAGGCATAGAGGCATGGAACAGACTGACATATCTCAGAGGTGGGGTTGAGGGGATGAGAAGAGATAAACCAAAGTACTTACATACTTACATGCATAGCCCATGGACACAGACAATAGTGTAGTGAAGGCCTGGGGGTGGATAGGGGCCCAGCAGAGGGGGGAAAAGTGGGGAGGGGAATGGGGAACATCTGTAATACTGTCGAATATATATATATATATATATATATATATATATATATATATGTATAAATTTTTTTAAGATTGATAAAACTTCTCAAAAATTGCTTTAAAAAGTGAAAAGTCAAACTACAAAGTTGTAGAATATACTCATATAACCAACAAAATAGTTTAATTAAGAATATATTTTTTTAATTTCTACAAGTCAGTAAATAACAAAGGGAAGGGGGATTTAAATTCCACAGAAAAGGAAATTATATGACTAATATAAAAGTGAAGAAATGCCCAATCCTACTAATAATAAGGGAAATTCAAATCAAGACAAACGGAGATGCCATATTTTGCTGCTTTGATTTGCAAAAAATTGAAAAATATTGATTATATTGAGTTCTGAAAAGAGTACATACTAATGGTGTCCCCATGTATAATTATTGAGAGTGTAAACAAATAGCTATTTTAAAAATCAGTTTGACATTATTATGTATAATTGGACATCATTATTCTACAACTCATCCATTCTACTTCTAGATATATATACAAGAAAAACTGTAGCACATGTGTCTCAAAAGATATGTACAAAAATATCATAGCAGCACTATTCATCATATCAAAAATTGGAAACACTCTAGATGTCCATCAACAGAGAAATGTTAAATTGTGTAAATTCATACATTCCATAACAAAGAACATGAAAGAACTACAACTATATAGAATGACCTGGATGAATCTTAAAATGTTGTGTGGGCCCTGGCCAGTTTGGCTCAGCAGTTAGAGTGTTTGCCTGTGGTCCAGAGAGACCTGGGTTCAGTTCTCCCTAAGGGCATGTACCTGAGTTGCAGTTTGTCCCCGGCCCTTGTTGGGTTGTGCAGGTGGCAGCCACTCAATGTGTCCTTTTCATGTCAACGTTTCTCTCTCTCTCCCCCTCTCTCTTCCTCACACTCTATCTGAACAACAACAACAAAAAAAAAAAGGAAAAATGTCCTCGAGTAAGGATAAAAAAAAAAATGTTGAGTGGAAAAATAGTCCCAGAGAACTATATATAATAACTCCTATATAATAACAACTATATGTTATAACCTTTTTTATAAATTTCAAAAATAAAAGAAAAACATAAAAAAGAGACATGTTCAAAACTGAAGAAAAAGAAGTCATAAAGAAAAATTATCTGGACATATTAGGTATGAAAAATATAATGGAAAGAGTTCAATTGATAGCTTGAATGGCAACATGTTACTATTTTAAGAAGATCATATTAAAGAACTCTCCCAGAACTGGTCAGTTTGGTTCAGTGGTTAGAGCATTGGCCCGTAGACCAGAGTCATAGATTCCATTCCAGTCAAGGGCATGTACCTCAGTTGAGGTTCAGTCTCAGCCTTAGTCGGGGTCATATGGGAGGCAACCAATCTATGTGTCTCCCTCAAATCGATACTTCTCTCTCTCTCTCCCCCTCCCTCTCTCCTTCCCACTCTATCTGAAGATAAATGGAAAAATATCCTCGGATAAGGATTAAAAAAAAACCTCTTTCAGAAAACATTAAGAAATAGTAAAAAACAAAAATATATAAAATGTTTAGAAATGCCAGAAGAGAAAAAGAAGTTGAGAGGAAATAACTGTGAATTTTCTTTTTTCAAAAATTATAACTTTCAGCTCTGGCCAGTTTGGTTCATTAGTTGGAGCGTTGGCTTGAGGACCAAAAAGTTGCAGGTTCGAGTTTGGTCAAGGTCATGTGCCTTGGTTGTGGTTCAGTCCCCGGCCCTGGTCAGGGTCGTGCAGGAGGCAACCGGTCAATGTATCTCTCTCACATCAATGTCTCTCTCTCTCTCTCCTTCCTACTCTGTCTGAAAATAAATAGAAAAAGATTCTCAGGTGAGGATTAAAAATAATAATTATTATATGTGTGTGTGTGTGTGTATAACTTTCAGATTAAAAAGAAGCATGGAGTAAATATAAAAACACCTCACACTGCCTGGCCAGTGTGGCTCAGTGGTTGACCCATGCACCAAGAGGTCGCAGGTTCGATTCTCAGTCAGGGCACATGGTGGTGAGCCAAATCCCCGGGGTGGGGCAGGGGGCATGCAGGATGCAGCCAATCAATATTCTCTCATCAATGTTTCTATCTCTCTCTCCCTCTCCCTTCCTCTCTCTCTCAAATCAATAAAAAATAATAATAAATTAAAAAAAAAAAAAAAGACCTGCCCTGGCTGGTTTGGCTCAGCGGTTGGAGTGTCAGCCCGCGAACCAGAGAGTCCCGAGTGTGGTTCCCTCTGGGAGCACCTACCTTGGTTGCAGTTTGTCCCCGGCCCC